CTCACGTTTTTTTTTCATCTATGGATATAGGCCTATCAAAAAAACATGGTGAGAATTTGCCACCCCAGGTGGTACCAATCCATGAAATTTTGGGGTCTGGCTCATGGACTATATGCCTGTGCACACGCACGCACACACACAAGACAGGTCCTCAGTTGTGTGTGTGTGAGGGGGGGGGGGAGGTCGCTGTTACTTCCATCACAAAGTATACGAAAAATGTGTGCGCATAGTGTCACTTACCATTTGTGTAAGAATACATTAGGAGAGTATGAATAGCGATGACGGATTTGTAGATAACTGTTCAGTATTTTATTATCTGTAAAACATGAATTTTTACCCATTTTCCTCCTGAAAGTAGGGAGGGGGTGATTGTACACCCCCACCTCAATAAGTGGCGGGACATATCACCACTTCCCCCCGCTATCTACACCCCTGACATGCATGCACGTACGCATGTACGCACGGCGAACATATGAGTGTATGCACGATGAACACATGCACGTACGCGTGCATAAACAATTTTCTGAATTTTTTCAAACCTTGTCAAATTCATTTTATTTCCCACACAGTACCGGCCATGTTGAACCGGCCAATGAAGGGGTGTCAAACGAAGAGTGATCCAAACGTGACACCCGTACGAGGTTACACTTCCTCCTGTGTTCACACCTCCACATAGATAATGACATATACCTCCTAGACCTCATATATATCCTATCTAATTTATAGGATCCTATAAAACTTCTATATTTTGACACAACCTCATATTTTTTAACACAACCTCCTATATTTTGAATGGCTGGCAATTTTGGGTAACTTGTTAGGGTGAAAGTCATCTATTATGGCCGACCGAGTCTCTAGTATAGACTGATATTGGACTTTTATTGCCAAGATCATTCGTTGCAGCAATCTTCTCTATAATAATTCCTTGGTTTCCGAGACAAGAGTGGGTATATTCTTATTTGTATGACAATACCTTGGCAGCCAGTTTTGAAGATTTGCTTTTGTATCATGTTCATGGCATCTGTCATGCTTGTAGTTAGATTACAAGTAACTAATCCTTGGCATAAAAGATTATATTTGCAGGATGGTTGGCACTTAAATTCAACTCATATGAACATCTTCACCAGAACTTACTATAGTCCAATATCAAGGTACTCCACTTCTATCTGGCGGACCTAGACTACACCAAGCATTCTGAGTGGAGTTGTTCTTATAAAATTGTACAGGTCATGTGCCTCTCTTTGAAGTCAATATCCTATTCCTGTAGACTGTGAGTATCTCTGAATTGTTTCAACTTAGAGACCTACCAGGAGCCAAGGTCGTATGGGGTGAATATGTGCACGGTTTCTGTTAAGTTCCTCAAAATTCCTATTCTAAAGGATAGCTTCCTATATTTCCTATATTTTCGTCCCATCAAGTGGCTAGGAGGTATGTAAAATAA